CTGGCCGCAGGCCCCGCCCCTGGCGCAGGCCCCGCCCCTGGCCTGCCGGGACCGTAGCGGAAATGGGTCGGGCCGCCCAGGGCTCCGCCCCAAGGCCTCACTTCCGGGTCCGCGCGCCCAGCCTCGCGTCTGCTGCTAACGGGGATTATGGAGCGTCAGGTGAGGGCTCGGCTCGCGGCCCTCGTGGTCCTTGCAGCCCGGGCCGGGCCTGACCCTGGTGTGTCCCCTGCGCAGGTGCTGCCGAGTGAGCCCGAGGAGGCGGCGGCGCTGTACCGGGGCCTTAGCCGCCAACCCGCGCTGAGCGCCGCCTGCCTGGGCCCGGAGGTCACCACGCAGTACGGGGGCCGCTACCGGACCGTGCACACCGGTGTGTGGGCGGACGGGACAGGTGGCGAAGGGGCTGTGCGCTCGCAGAGGACACACGAGTGTGTGCAGGAGCCAGTTCCGGCACACAGGCGAGGGGGTTGTGCAGCCGAACTAGGTAGAGCCCGGACTGCGTGGGTGGAGGAGCGCTCCGACCTGAGTGCTTCGGCCTCTGGACCCTGTGTCCCAAACACATTCCAGGCACCCTTGATTGCATCGTGTGCGCTCGGGGCAGGCTTGGTTCTCCAGATAGCTGTCGGCTCAGGCTTTAGAGACTAAACTTGGGTTGCTGTCAAGCGTTGTCCAGGGTCCCCCTAGGATATTTGAAGACAGATTGGGGATGATGGGTCTGGGTCTTCCTGGATGGGGGCGCACTGGCCCCAACTGGCCAAAACAGATTGAGCAGCCTCACGCCTCCCTTGCAGAGTGGACCCAGCGGGACCTGGAAAGGATGGAGAACATTCGATTCTGCCGCCAGTACCTGGTGTTCCACGATGGGGACTCTGTGGTGTTCGCAGGGCCTGCAGGCAACAGTGTGGAGACCCGGGGGGAGTAAGTTTGAGGGAGGAAGCTTGTGCACAAGGCCACAGCCGTCTGCCCTGTCAGCTGTTAATGAGCGCACGCCATGTGCCTAGATGTGGGTAGGGCCCAGAGGAAGGCCAGGAGCCAGCTTCCTGTCCCTTAGTTTGTGGTGACATGGCCTGATAAGCACTAGAGGCTTGCTCCAAACTCAAGTCCAGCTCGTATCCTGTAGGTCTGGGGAGGGTAGAATGTGCCTCAGGGAAGAACAGCGAGGCCATGTGCCCTTGTGGGACAGGTTTCAGGTGCTACAGGGGATGGTGGAGAACCAGAGCCTTAAGAATCTAGCAAGGTGTGGTGGTGCACCCCTGTAATCCCAGCACTTGGGAGGCTGAGGCAGGAGGATCGCTGTGAGTTCAAGACCAGCCTGGGCTACATAGTGAGTTCAAGGCCAGCCTGAACTAAGTTTCAAGACCCTGTCTCAAAAAAAAAAAAGTATCTAAGGTTGTGGCCAGTGAGGAGGCAGCACAGAGCTATTCTGGGTTGGAGACGACCCTGACCCACTGCCCCACATCCTCCTCAGACTGCTGAGCAGAGACTCTCCTTCGGGCAGCATGAAGGCCGTGCTGCGTAAGGCGGGAGGCACAGGCCCTGGGGAGGAGAAGCAGTTTCTGGAGGTGAGTCTGCAGGGGCCCAGGTGGTGGGCATCAGGGAGTGCAGCCCCGCAGACAAGGCTCACCTGGAGGGCACGCAGACTGATGCCCCGGTACCCTCAGGTCTGGGAGAAGAACTGGAAGCTCAAGAGCTTCAACCTGTCAGCACTGGAGAAGCATGGGCCTGTTTACGAGGACGGTGAGGGCCCTGGCTGGTCAGCAGGCAGGGTGGACAGGAGGGGCAGCCCCAGCCCTAGTCTCCCTCTCATTAGCCCTTCCCCTACCCAGACTGCTTTGGCTGCCTGTCCTGGTCACACTCGGAGACACATTTGTTGTATGTGGCAGAGAAGAAGCGCCCCAAGGCTGAGTCCTTTTTTCAGACCAAAGCTTTGGACATTAGTGCCAGCGATGATGAGGTGGCCAGGCCGAAGAAGCGGGACCAGGCCGTCAAGGTGCTTGTGGTGTGGTTAATCCAGGAAGGCCTGGACGCATCCCTGGGGCTTAGTGTCTCCTTTCCATGTTCTACCTGTCAAAACTGGGGTGGGGGGCACTGGCTTCTAGGAAGCAGGGCAAGGTCTTGTAGAGACTGGGCATTGAGTGTCCTGTGTTCTCAGGGGGATCAGTATGTGTTTTACGAGGACTGGGGAGAAAACATGGTCTCCAAAAGCATCCCTGTGCTCTGTGTGCTGGACATCGAGAGCGGCAACATCTCTGTGCTTGAGGGGGTTCCTGAGAACGTGTCCCCTGGACAGGTCAGTAGTGACTCAGCGCACGTCCCACCTGGAGTCTGCTGGCCTTGCTGGAGCGACTGCCCCTTGCTCACCTGCCTTCTGCTTATGTTTGCAGGCTTTTTGGGCCCCTGGAGACACAGGTGTGGTGTTTGTGGGTTGGTGGCATGAGCCCTTCCGGCTGGGCATCCGCTTCTGCACAAATCGGAGGTGAGGAAACGGGACGCGGAAGGGGCCCTGCAGCCCAGCTGGCCTTGACGCTCACTGACTCTTGGGCCATTCCAGGTCAGCCCTGTACTATGTGGACCTCACCGGGGGGAAGTGTGGTAAGTGGCTGGTGCCCACCTCGGCTGTGTGGGTACACGCTGGCCCTTGCCGCTTGTGTGATGCTCACATTTCTGTGTGGCCTAGAGCTCCTCTCAGATGACTCCTTGGCTGTCTCTTCTCCTCGGCTGAGCCCAGATCAGTGTCGCATCATCTACCTGCAGTACCCGTCGCTGGTCCCTCACCATCAGTGTAGTCAGCTGTGCCTGGTGAGCCGGAGGTTTGGGGTCGGAGGTGGTCAGCAAGAAGAGAGGATGGCAGGTGACAGCTGAAGGGCCAGCATCATCTCCCTGTGGGCCCCTCCACAGATAGCCTCGTTGTCCCAGGCGCAGCAACGGTGTGAATTCAGCCTGTGCTCTGAAGGCGAGGCTGAGGCTGAGAGTGCTGGCAGGAGGGCTTTGCCCTGTCAGGTGTGCCATCTTGAGAGCACCCTGTATCTACAAGAACATTCTCCTGTCCTCTTCTGCACATAGCCAGGCTCTGCAAGGGGCAGGATGTGGTGAGAAGTTACACAGTCTGAGGCCCTACCCATGAAGCACTGAGCCCCAGGGAAAGATGGTACATGCCCGGATGAGGCCTCTCTGGGCACCTGGTGTAGGTCACAGAAAGGAGACCCATCAGGCTCATCTCGCTTTCCCTACTCCTCCCCTGGGGTACCCAAAGCTGTCATTGAAGGGGATATATGTAGAGCTCTGTGCCTGCAGGACGTTGCCCCCCACCCCCAGGGCTGACCATTGTGTTCTCTTGCAGTATGACTGGTATACCAAAGTCACCTCGGTGGTGGTGGACATTGTGCCTCGGCAACTAGGAGGTGAGGGTGCCGGCTAGGGTAGAGTGGCACCTATAGCTCCAGGTTCCAGCTGTCTCTTCCATCTCTGCCCAACATTTCTTCTTTGTGTTCCTTTGGAGGACCTTCTGTGTGGTGGGCCAGCCCTAGGCCCAACCTCCAAGGGAATGGGGCCCATTGCTGTGGAGAACAGTTCTGATGAAAAGAGTTGATTGGACCAAAGCTGAGATTAGAGTGGCCCAAGCTGACTGGGGATTTAGATGATTTAGTTCCTGTGCTGCCAGGCATGGTGGTGCATGCCTATTATCCCAGCACTTGGGAGGCTGAGGCAGGAGGATTGTTGCAAGTTTTGTGACCAGCCTGGGCTACAAAGTGAGCTCAAGGCCAGCCTGAACTGTGTAGCGAGACCCTGCCTCAAAAAGACAAAAAAAAAAAAAAAAAAAAAAATTCCTGTGCTGAAGCAATTGGATTTTGGCTTTTTCAGTGGTTAATTAAAACCATTGCCCTTCAAGTGGGTCTCTTAGAAGGTGCACGAGATTGGAATGTCATACTTGGGGGGCTCGGGGCCTGAGGTTGTTATATTACCCTACCCTTCATCTCATCTAGCAAACTTCATCCAGTCCAAGTCAGCTGTCCTCACGGAGGGTGGCCCTTGGCCGAAAGGCTTCTGTCTCATTCTCCAGTATCTATAGCTCCTCTTGGGATCTGGGACCATCCCAAGGAGAAAAGACATGAAAATCTCTTTATTTTCTCAAGCCATCCAGAAAGTTCAGGAGTCAAATACGCAAGTACAATGGACAGTGTTTCCGTTCAGTAGAGGGATAGCTCAGCAGTAGAGCATGTGCTTAGCATGCACAAGGCCCTGGGTTCTTCTCCAGCCCAGAGAGAGGGAGAGAGCGAGCAGAAGAACATAATGGCCTTTTTGTCTTCCTTTGGGTTGCAGGGATGCAGTTGGGGACCCTGCCTGAATCTTAGATAAACCCAAATTTCACCAGGTATGGTGGCTCATGCCTGTAATCCCAGCACTTGGGAGGCTGAGGCAGGAGGATTGTTCTGAGTTCAAGGCCAACCTGGGCTACAAAGTGAGCTTAAGGCCAGCCTGAACTGCATAGAGAGACCCTATCTCAAAAAGACCAAAAAAAAAAAAAAAAAAAAGCCCAAATTAGCTGTGTGTCCTTGGACAGTATCCCAGCCTCCCCAAACTTCCTTTTCATTTGGGTTGGGTTGGGTTGGGTTGGGTTGGTTTGTTGAGACAGGGTCTCACTGTGTAGCCCAGGCTGGCCTTAAATTCTCTATGTAGCCCAGGCTGGCCCTGAACTCTTAGTGATGTTCCTGCCTCAGCCTCCTGAGTGCTGGGATTACAGGAATGCGCCACCATGCCCAGCCCAAATTTCCATTTCTTCATCTGTGGAGGGAGTGGTTGTCCCTGCCTTACTTGGAGAGTTACAGTGAGGGTTCACTTGAGTATGATGACCTTGCATGGTAGGATTTAGTGAGACCCTTCTGCTCAGCACTGTGCTACAGTGGATATTACAATGGACAGACAGGTGTTACCTTGGTAAAAGGGGTCTAACAGTGCCAGTGGCCCGGCAGAAGCAAGTGTTCTCCCAAGCACTGATGCTCAGTGGCTCTTGCGCACTGCCTCTCCTGGGCCCTCAGAAGCTTCTGCCCTTCCGGCCCCTCCTTGGATGCCCTGCTATGTAGAACTGCTGTTCTCCCACAAGCTGCAGGGACCTGGGTCAATTGCCCAACAGTGTAGTCTGCCTAATAGTGCTGAGTCCCCCCAGTCCTTTGTGCCTGGACTCAGCCCCAACCTTCCCATCTTTACAGAGAGCTTTTCTGGAATTTACTGCAGCCTTCTGCCTTTGGGATGCTGGTCAGCTGATAGCCAGAGAGTGGTCTTTGACTCTGCTCAGCGGAGCCGGCAGGTAGGCAGCCCCTGTGGTCCCTCACCAGGAGCCTGAGCCCTGTGGCAGAGCATGTGTGGGACCTGGGGGGACATCCAGCCCGCTAAAGGCCTGCCTGGCCTGGTCTGGCCTGGACTCACTTCTCCTTTAGGAGGCCTGCTGCCCCTAAAGAGCCCTTGGCCTTCTTGCCCGAGTCAGATTGCAGCCTTTCCCAGGCACTTCCAGCTGGGTGACAAAGGATCTGCCACTAGAGTGGGTCCCTGAATACATTGTAAGGACAGTGATGTTACAGGGATGGGATGAGGGCACCCACAGCACGCCAGGCTCCTTTTGGTGTGGTATCGTATCGCCTTCATGCTGGCTTCAAGGGGCTCAGTGCATTCCTTCCCTTGCCCAGGGACACTCACTTGTGATGGGGCTGAGATGTGAGTGGCCCTCAGGCTGCTCCTTACTGCACTGAGTAGCCATCACCACAGCTGCTTATAGCCCCAGCCTGGACCAAGGTCACCAAGCGGGCAGAGGGGAGGCAGGGGCAGGAGCCACAGTGCCTCAGGATGTGGTGCCTCAGGAGGCCCCCCTTTGCTTTAGGACCTGTTTGTGGTGGACACCCAGAAGGGCAGTGTGACGTCCCTAACAGCTGGTAAGCAGGGCTGGTGATCAAGCGCGCCAGGTGAGGGCTGGGTCCGGAGCTTGACATGTGGGGCAGCAATAGCTCTGTAGCGACTCTCAGCACTAACTTCTGCAGCCTTTGCTGATGGTCTCCCTCAGACCTTGCCTTTGCAAGGCCCCTGCCCAGCCAGCACACCGCCTCCCGTGCTCCTCAAACCCACAGAACACTCTCTTGCCAAGACCTGCCAGTCGTCCTCCCCCTTGCCAGACCTTGGGTGTCTGTCCCAGGTAGAGACAGCTGTACCCCTCAGGGCCCAGCAGATACCTAGGATCTGCTGTCTCCACACACGGGCCTAGGGACTGATTATACCTGAAATGAGGTTTGAACTCTCCACCCTCCTGGACTCTACCTGCTCCTCTACAGAACTGTTCTATAGCTCATCACAGAAGTCCTGCTTCAGCATCTGCATGGACCCCACTGCCCAGTCTCTACCCCATCCAACTCCCTGCGCCTGGCTGCCACCTCCAGTCATTGAGGGGGTGGGGTGGAATGTCTTAATGGTCTGGTGTGTCCCCGGGGCTGGCAGTTCCTGGGCATATAGCCCTTGTCTGCCAGATGAACAAGGTGCTGTGGGTGGGGTGTGTGCGCGTATGTATAAGTGCCTTGAGAGCATCAGCGCCTAGCGAGAACCCGTCTGTCTCCTCCGGGGAGAGGTGCGAGGCTTAGCTTACTAAGAGCTGCCCACCTCCTGCTCTGAACAGAAGCATAAGGCGGGAAGGTAGCTGGGCACCTGTAAGACTTCTGCCCCTCACGGGACCGGGGCCTTCAGCCTGGCCTCTGCAGAGAACAAGTGGGGAAGGCAGTGGCTCTTCCCAGGCACTTAGTAGCATGTGCTTTCTCCAGGCGGGTTGGGTGGAAGCTGGAAGCTGCTCACAATTGATCGGGACCTTATGGTGGCACAGTTCTCCACGCCCAGTCTGCCCCCAAGCCTGGTGAGTGTTGACGGGTCACAGGCTGGGAGGCTGCAGCTCTGCTGGCCCAGAGGCAGACCATAGCTTGTCAGTACATAGAGGGGCTGAGACAGACCTGCCCGGCGCAGTCCATAAGGGTTTGGCGCTCATGGGGAGGGATTATGGGCTATTGTCTGCTCTGGGGAAGTGACTGGTCCTCTGGTACTGTGGAACATAGGGGACAGCAGAGGCTCGGACCCCAGGAGGGTGGGGTGTGTTCAGATGTGACCGTGAGTACTTGGTATATACCGGCTCACAGTAATGACCCATGCTGTGTCCTCTGGAGGTAGGTGTGAGGCCCAGCTTAGTAAAAGCTGCCTATCTCCTGCTCTGGGCAGAAGCAGAAGGCAGAGAGGCACCCCGACCACCTGTGAGACCTTTCCTTCCTCTTGGCAGAGAGTTGGCTTCCTGCCTCCTGCAGGGAAGGAGCAGTCAGTGTTGTGGGTGTCCCTGGAGGATGCCGAGCCCATTCATGACATCCTCTGGAGCGTCCGAGTGCTAAAGCCACCCCCAGAGCAAGAGAACAGACAGTACGGTAAGCTGGGCCAGGGCAGAGGGACACACTGTGCAGGCTTCCTGGCATGTAGTGTCGATGGAGACCCTGCCTCCTGGCTCACATTGCTCGGTTTCCTGAGACTCCTCCAAGAGGTTTTCTGTCCTTGTGGTCTTGAGGAGTAGCACCCAGGGTTCTGAGCACCTGTTCTGAGTGTCAGAACTGAGTACCACTAGGCCAAATCAAGTCCTAAGGAGAACAGGCCTCACCCAGTACCTGTTGCCACTCAAGTATACCTTCTCCAGAATGCTGTCCCCTCAGAGTGAGGCTCCCTGACCAGGGCAGAAGGTTTCAGAGGCCCATGTGCTGTGGTATGGGTTTCCCAGGTCAGCCCTAGACCTGCAGTGAGAGATGGGTGCTCGGCTGGGGAAGCCCCAGGGAAGTAGCGCTGGCCCTGCTGACTGCTGCTCTCTCCCTGCAGCTGGCCTTGACTTTGAAGCAATCCTTTTGCAGCCCCGTGACCCCCCAGACAAGACCCAGGTGCCCATGGTGGTCATGCCCCACGGTAGGTATCTGGGCGAAGAGCCTTGCCCACCCTCCACCTTGTCTAGGTGGCCCTTTCACCCTCCACTCCTATCCTATCTCCAGGGGGACCCCATTCATCCTTTGTCACTGCCTGGATGCTGTTCCCAGCCATGCTTTGCAAGATGGGCTTTGCAGTGCTACTAGGTGAGCAAGGAGGGACCCGTAGCCCTACTAGGACTTCGGTGGAATGATGGGATGGGCCTATTCTGCATAAACCCTGCGGTGGCCACTCATTTCTAGGCTTTTCTATGGGCTAGTTCCTCTTTCTAGTATCCACTACCAGGAACTGCCCTGGCCGAGCATCTCATAGTATGGACTAACTAAAGACCTCCATGGAAAGCAAGTGGTCCCTGGGTAATAGCCTGGAATGTCTTGTCCCTTTCCCTTGGTGGTCTGCGGTGTGGCTGGTCTTCAGGCCCACTTCACAGATGTGTGACGTGGGGTCCATGGGGCTGCCAGTGTTGCCTAACTACCCTGTCTGATCCCTCCCTCACCTCCAGTGAACTACCGTGGCTCCACGGGCTTCGGACAGGACAGCATCCTTTCCCTCCCAGGCAATGTGGGCCACCAGGATGTGAAGGATGTCCAGGTAGAAGGGGGCTGGGGCTTCCGACAGGCTAGAGGGCAGGCTCTCAGGGGTGTGGATGCAGACAGCTGGCTGCAGTACGCTGTGCTCTACCCTGTAGTTTGCAGTGGAGCAAGTGCTCCAGGAAGAACATTTTGACACAGGCCGCGTGGCCCTTATGGGTGGTTCCCATGGTGGGTTCCTCTCCTGCCACCTGATTGGCCAGTACCCAGAGACTTACAGCGCCTGTGTGGCCCGGAATCCTGTGATCAACATTGCCTCTATGATGGGCTCCACTGACATCCCTGACTGGTGAGTGTGTCCCTCCTTCCACCCCACATTCCCCTGTATCTCTGCAGGCCTCACAATTCCTGGGACTGCACTGACTTGGTCTCTTCACTTTTTGTTGTACCAGTGGTGGCACATGCCTATAATCCCAGCACTCGGGAGGCTGAAGCAGCCTGGGCTACCTGGCAAGACCCTGTCTCAAAGAGAACAAAAGAAAATTCATTTTTTTAGTACCCTAAACCCAGGTCCTTACCCTGAATACTGCCCCACCCCTTTATCTGGAGATGGTCTTGAAGGGTCACTAAGTAACCCAGGCTGGGCTCAAACTTGCAATCTTCCTGCCTTGCCCTCCAGAGTGCTGGAGATACAGGCGCGCGCCGCTACACCTGGCTCTGGCTCGGTCTCTTGTAGGTGTGTAGTAGAGGCCGGCTTCCCTTACAACAGCGACGGCTTACCAGACCGTAGTGTATGGGCAGAGATGCTGGACAAGTCCCCCATCAGATACATCCCTCAGGTACTCAGCCCACCTCACCCCACGTGCCACCTGTCCACCCAGATGTTAGGACCTAGTCTACCCCTGTCCATTTCCCACACACTCAGGTGAAGACGCCGCTGCTGCTGATGCTGGGCCATGAGGATCGGCGTGTACCCTTTAAGCAGGGCATAGAGTATTACCGTGCCCTCAAGGCCCGGAATGTGCCTGTCCGGTGGGTACCACAGGATAGCCCTGGCAGCTGGGGGGCAGGTGAGCAGGGGAGGAGCCTCCAGACTCATGTTGCCGCCCAACCCCTACAGGCTCCTGCTCTACCCCAAAAGCGCCCACGCACTGTCAGAGGTGGAAGTGGAATCAGACAGCTTGATGAATGCTGTGCTCTGGCTGCACACGCACTTAGGCAGCTGAAGCCCTGCCACGCTGCACGAGCTGGTCAGCTCATGTCCCACGGTGCTCTTGGGGAGCTCCTGGGTCTGGCAGAGCAGCAAGAGGCTCCATGGATGAGTGGGCAGAGGAATGTAGTCATAATAAATGAGGACACGAGCCTGGTTTATGCTGGCACTTTATACCATGCCATCCAATCGTGCCACCCGCTCCCACCCTCATGTTTCAGAGAGCCTAGGCCCTGGGTGCGGTAGCCATAAGGACTCCATCTGCCTCCAGTGTCAGCTGAGGGACCAGTGAGAAGTTCAGTCTGCCTCTCTTGGCCAACAAGCACTGTGTACCAAGCTGTGGAGCTCTTCTGCTACTTTCCCTTTGGGGAGAAACTGCTCTGCATCACCTTCTACTCCCAAGAGCGCCTCTGGAAGACGAGTGGGGCCCTACCCTTCCACAGCACCTACAGGCTAAAGTAGTTCCGGGGTAAGATCACTCAGCCCGAGGTGTGCTCAAGGCCCCAAGGAATCACCAGCTCATTGCCTAGAACCAAAGGCTAAGAAGCATTCTGCACAGGTATAAAGAGGAAAGGTGGCTTTATGTCTGACCAGAACTTTTGTCCTCCTCAAGGCAAGGGACCCAGGAAGGCCTAGCCCAGCTGGATGACCTTGTGAATCCAGTCCACAAACACAGAGACACGTAGGAAGATGGCTGGCCAGCCAGGCCGTGCACACACTCGGTTGGGGATTATAATTCCCTCCAGGACCCAGCAGTCATGGGTAAAGCAGGCAAGTGGGCCCCCGTAGTCACCCTGGCAGGTAGGAGGACTCATGAGGATCCGTGGGCGTGGCAGAGGCTAGCCCCTTGGGGGATGAGGTCCTACATTTCCAGCCACCCACAGCCTCCCTGGGCTGCCCAGAAGCCCTGCTGCTGACCTCACAGGCCCCTACAGGAGCCATCATTCCCCTGGTGCACATCTCACTCTCCCGAACACGCCCTCGGTACTTGACGTTACACTCCTGGTTGGAGATGACATTCAGCAAGGCCACGTTTAGGACCCTGTCATGACTTGTACCTATTGTGAGGGGAAGAGGAAAAGGAGAGGGCCCTTGGGCATGATCCAGGGCTGGGTCTCCTGGCCTGCAGCAGCTCCTGCCCATGCACTCAGCCCTTACCTTTGGCCTCACCCCAGCCTGCAATCTCACACTTCGTTGCTGGAGGCACCACGTAGCGCTCAGGGGGCAGGCAGATCAGGGCCACACGCTGGTTCAGGGTCACAGGGCTTCAGCAGGAATGAGGCACTCAGGACCTGGGGCCACAAACCCAGCCCCTCCTCACCCATTCAGCTTGTCCGCATACCTCTCCAGCTTGAGGAGGACCAGCTGGGAATCGGAGGGCCCACAGACCATCTTGGCCACGCGGACCCGCTGCAGGTCTGGCTCCTCCGGCTGTGGGTTCTGAAAGAGTGTGCCCAGCCACACCTCGTATCCTGTGAGGGATGCGTGGCTGGGAAAGGAACTCTGCTCATTCTCAGCTCCCAGTCTCCTGCCCCATAACCCACTTGGTGGGGAAGGCGTTTGGTAGGAGCACAGGGCGGCAGGTGGAATGAGACCCCCAAACTCAGGGAGGCTCACCAGGACGAGAAGCATTGCCGGGCCGTCAGTACCCACCGCTCCTTCACTAGGGACCCACTGCAGAAATGCTGGCCCTGCCTGGGGGAGTGGACGTTTGAAGGGACAGTGAGTCCTGAAACACATACACGACCTGCCACTCTCTGCTTAGGACCTCTGGGACCAGGGCAGGTCCCCATGTCCACTGGACAGGACACAGCCACTTGTGCCTCACCTGTTGTGCAAGCTGACTGTCCAGGGTGAGTTCCCAGGGTGGCCCCCCACCATGCGCAGCTTGGAGAGCCACTGGTTCGGCCTGTCTGGCCTCTTGCCACACTTCTCAAACTGCACCTGGTCTGGGGGATGGGCAGATGGCTGGAACCCCTTGGCTGGAGGTCTGGGCAGAGGGGCTCCTGCCCGAGTGTGTACCTGGCGGGTCCAGGATGGACAGTAGTGGGTCATCATCTGAAAGACCAAGTTCACTCAGTCTGAGAACCAGTCTGGAGGTGGACTGAGTGAGGGCCGTGGGCAGTGTCCCGGGACTTACTGCATCGATGCAGGGCACAGTAGTCGAAGGAGGTCCCTGGGTCAGTAGTGTAGCACCAGGGCCCGTGGCTGTCTCCATCTGGGTTCCGGCAGAAGTTTTCCTTCAGTTGAGCATCCGGGGCAGAGGCGGGTGTGAATCTAGGTGGGAAACAGGGCTATGTCAGACCAAGGCACGTTGCCCATGGGTTCAGGCCCGATTCAGGGCCCACGTTCTCACCGTGGCTTGTGCGGGGTTTCAGCAGACCAGTGCTGGCATGGGACACCCTTGCGGGTCTTGTTGACAAAGCCTCGATACTGCTTCCCAGAGCCATGGTAGCAATCTGTGGTGGGGAGGTGGGCGTGATCCACCATCCTCCCAGGCCCCCACCCCTGCCTTCAGGCATCTCCAGCCCGGGCACAGTGCCCACTGAACCAGCCTCACCCTCTGTCCGGACGTCTTCGGCGCAGCGCGGGATCTGGTAGCAGAAGGCCACGCGCATACCAGGCCTCGATGTGAAGCACCAGGGGGCCTCTGAGCCATCAGGGTTCCGGCAGAAGTTTTCCCGGAGGTCCCTGGCAGGCACCTGCTTGCTCAGCAGAGCAGCATCCCGAAGGGCCGCCTCTAACCCCGCCCAGCCCCGCCCAGCCCCGCCTTCTTGCTCACCCCTCCACAGGCCGCCTGCCCCTCGCCCAGCGCTCACTTGCAGGCATATTTCTCCGGCAGGAATCTGTGCTGGTGCGGGCTCTGTGAGTCCCAGCGCTGGCAGGGCACGCCCGCAGTGGTGGTGTTGGCGATGCCCCGGTAGCCTTCACCCTTCCCTTGGAAGCAGTGGAACGTCATGGCTTCGTGCGGCGGCTGTACCTCAGGCCCTGGGGCGGAGCGAGCCAGGTTAGACCCAGAAAAGCTGGGATCTGGGCTGATTCGTAGGTCTCCCGAACTCCTTGGTTTTGCTCGCCACCCCCGACCCCACGCCCCGCCAAGCCACTCCCCCTGGTTCCCCAGTTACCCTCCTGGCACAGGAGGAGAGGCTCACCGCAGCTGGGGAGATCGCAGAATTCTCGAGGGAGCTCCGGGTCTGTGGTGTAGCACCAGGGCCTCTCAGAGCCATCAGGATTCCGGCAGTAGTTGTCATCCAGATCTTTGTCCAGGAACCTAACGGGGCAGTACCTAGGCCTAAACAGGACTCTGGGACTCCAGCCCCTTACAGTTGTTTTTTATAGACCTTTATAGGTCTGGCACTGCCCCTAGCCTGCCCCCTGAGCACGTACGTACTTGCCAGGCTCAAAGGGGTGCACATGCGGGTGCTGCAGGTCCCAGCGCTGGCACTCACGTCCGGACTCTGTGTGGTCCACCGAACCGCGATAGTCCTCGCCATTGCACCAAACACAGGCAGCTGGAGACGTAAGACCAGGGCGCTTCTGGAAGAGAGCGGACCTGTCCCTCCCCCCAGGCTCTATGCAGCGGGCACCACTTACCCTCCCTGCAGGACTTGATGCCACAGCTCTGGAAGCGCACTGTAGAGTCTGTCGTGTAGCACCAAGGACCTCCGGGGTCCCCATCAGGATTGCGGCAGAAGTTTTCTTCCAGGCCATTCTGGGGTGTGGGTTTATATCTGTGGGCAGAGCATCACTACAGCATGTGCTGGGAGAAATCTGCCGGCAGAGATGGAGGGAAATGTGCCTCACTTGTGGTCATTGGGGAACTTGAGATTCCAGCTTTGGCAGAGCAGGCCACCTACTGTCCTGGTCACGGTGCCCCGGTACCTGACCCCATTGTCCATAATGCAGGTCCGAACATAGTCTAGAAGCAAGAGAGGAAAGGTCAACAGGATTGGAGGCCCCAGGCTCCCCGTCCCCACTTCACTCCTCCCTGCAGCCACTTGCCTTTCTTCTGGAAGAGATCACAGCCCGCAGAACGCAGCAGCCTTGTGTGAGGCGAGTGCTGGGTCCATGGCAGCAGCTGGCAGCTGAGGCTGCTCATGTTGTAGTGAAAGGCACTGGGGAGGAAAAGGCACAGGGCTGCCCAGGTTCCGGGTTCCCTGTCCTCCAGCCGTATCTATGCCACTCAGCCAGCCACTCACCGACAGTCCAGGAGGGGCCCGCAGCGCTTAGCACACTCTTCGGCATCCAGCACATCCTTCTGCCAAGACCCAACTACTCCGTGTAACAAGTGCTGCAGCTCTGTGCCCCGAAGCACCTGGAAGTCATTCAGCAGCGGGCGCTGCCCTGTGGTGTGGGCATACATGTCAGTGCGTGTGTATTGGCATGTCCTGTGCCTTGGTCATTTGGGGGGGTCCAATACAAGACCTCTGGGATAGGCCCTGTGTGTGCTTTCCAGAGCCACCCCAGACCCCTGCATGGAGTGGAGGAAACACCCCAGACATGGTAGTAATCACGAGGCCCACTCAGGTCTAACACACACGTCCCATGAGAGCTGTGGTGATGCTGCCTGCTCCCCGTCTCGTCTCTCAGATGAGAATGCCTGGGCTCAGACCATTAGGATAACCAGACAGGGACCCAGCCTCGGCATTCTGACACCCACCCGCAGGAAACACGTACGAGATTAGATTCAGGAGTCTCTTCCTGCAGTACATATGCATCTGTGTACTTCCAGGACTGCCTCTGTGCTGCAGCAGAAGTGCTAGTGTAGGCCCGAGCAGGCCATATACACGTTTTGCCAGAGCTTCCCAGCTCTGCTCAAGAGGCCAAGGTCACTGCTCCCCGCTCAGTGGGAAAGTGAGCTCCTGGCAATGACAACAGCATGGGCCTGGGGAAACCCCGCTGAAGACAGGTGGGCATCAGAAGGGCACTCACCAGGGGCCTCCAAGGATGGTGTCAGAAGCAGCAAGAATAGGAGCCACCCCATTCTCTTGGCCGGAGACTGCACTGTGACCCACCACAGCCCCATCCGGGAAGTTGTGAAACCTGTCCCTGTGGGATTGGGTGACTCTGGCTCCACACCCCCCACTCCAGGCCTGTAGGCCCCTGACCTGAGAGGATGTGGCCGGAGCTAGGTGGGGCCAGGCCCCAGGCCTTGGATCCTGTACAAGGACCCTCACTTCAGTACAGCTACAGCCTGGAGAGGCTTCCCTGTGGCACAGACAGCAGTTAGAAGGGTTTAGTGGGGACCCATGAGGCACCCTGGGGTGTGGGCTTGAGGACTCCTCGCAGGGCACACGGGCGGATGTGGGAGCTGCCAGAGGCTGGGCTCCCGCCCCTGGATGGGGGTGTTAAACTTCTCCAAGCTTCGTCCCCCCTCCCCGGGTGGAGTAGAGAACATCACCTGGCCGAGCCTCAATGCCGCCCTTCCCCCATTCCTGCCTTATCAGCTGGGGCCAGCTGTAGGAGTTCAGCTCACGCCCTCGGCAGCGGAGCCCACGGAGGCTCACCGCTTGCTGGTGTCACTGCGGGGGAGGTGAGTGAGGCCCCCCATTGGGACTAAAAAAGAGTAGGGTGAAGGTAGCAGGGACCTGGGGGAGAGGCTTGCAGACACATTAGCCTACGCATGGGCCAGGCCTTAGGGTTTTGGGTTGACACAGGCATCCTCGGGATCCCACTTAGGACACGAGTTCTGGCCATCACTTCGCTGCAGGCCAGCGCGAAGCAGTTGAGACCTCTGACCCAAAGCGAGGGTGAGAAAAACCGGCAGGAGATCGCGCCTAGGACTCCCGCCGGTCTCCGGCAGGAGCGGACCGGTGCGTGCGCGTGCACGGCTGGAGGCGCGGCGCGGCGGGGCGCGCGGGCGGGCGGGTGGTTTGGCCCTGGACGGACGCCGTAGCTGAGAGGCCGGGCGGATGTTGTGCGCTAGGCGCGGCGGCCGCGGCTGCGGTGAGTGAGGGGCGGCGGGGCTCGGAGCGGGTGGTCCGAGTGTCTGCCTTCCAGGCCCGGCCCAGGCCAGGGCCGTAGCGCCGCACGGGGTGGTCGCGGCCCATGTGCTGCGGGGCCGGGGCCGGCCTGACAGGTCCTCCGGAGCTCGGGGCCGGGAGGGGGCCGTGCGCTGCCCTCGGCGTCCTTGGACTCCAGAAGCGGAATCGGTTCGGTTCCGAGCCGGATCCCTCGGCAGGGCTGGGTGGGATCGCAGTGACAGGGCGCCCCCGGGCAGGCACAGGTTCCGCCCCTCGTCGGAAGGCGCAGCGTCTGACACTTGGATGCACGTCTGGAAGACTTGCTTCCAGGAGGTTTGAATGACCGCGCTCCTCAGTCCTAAACCCGCGCCGTTGTGAGGGGCACCGCGCACGGACGGGCACGGAGGGCTCGCGATGGGTGGCGGAGCGGGGAGTCGCCCTGCCGAGGCGGGCGCCCTGCAGACCAAGGGTTTGTCGGGGAGCGGAGGGCCTCGCTGGGCCGAGATGAGAGTGTGCTGCGAGGGGGATGCTGGTGAAGGCAGTGCCGGGGGCTGTCATCTGGATAGCCACTCACAGGATTTCCTGTGATGGGGAGATGAATCCAATCCGGGCCAGCCACATATGCCTATGGAACTCTCGAAATGTGGCTAATGTGATGGAGAAATTCGATGTTTTATATTTTAGACTTTGATGCAAATGTTAATATGCACATGTGGCTGCTAGCGGCTGTGTTGATGGTACAGCTCCGCGAGGCCAGCACCAGGGACTTCGTGCAGGTTCTTTTTTTTGTTTGGTTTTCCTCCGGTACCGGGAACCAAACTCATGACCTTGCGCTTGCCAGGCAGACGCTGTGCCGCTGAGCTAAATCCCCAGCCCTGCGTGCAGGTTCTTGAACAGCTGCGGCAGCGTATTACTGGGGGACAGACAGCAGTGGGAAGATGAGTGGCGTCTGCCACGAGGGCTGGGCAGGGTGGTACCTGGATGGGGTGGGAAGCCGCGTGTGAGCTGGAACAAGGAAGACAGCAACGCCGTGGACAAGAAGGGAGGAGCCTGGGGCTGAGGGACAAAGCCTCACTTGGGGGAATGGTGGGACTTTTGGCTGGAGATGGCCACATTAGTGATGTTTTGTGCTTGATGGAATGCACCGTAGGGTTCTCTCTTCTCCACATAAACTGGGTCCAGAGGTGCTTACAACAGAGGGATACAGGGGCTTAGGTCTAGGCCACCTCACTTTGGACATTTTAATCTGGTTTTCCCGGAGCAGAGACATTTGGTTATGGCTCAGCGAACATGTATTTGGTACCTGCTCACTGTGGGCCCAGGCTGGGCACTGAAATACGGTGTGGAACAAGTTGTGCTTCCTGTCACATGGCCTCAGACTCCAGCAGTTCTCCCTGTGTAGGAAGCTAGGAGCTCCTGTCTCTCCTGTTGTAGGTTGGTGTGTGTGAGTACATGCTTCTGGCCTCGCCTGCCCCCAGCCTTCCTGTCATTGCAAGACTGAGGTCAAGTGCAGGGGCCCTTGGCTGGCTGTGAGTGGATAGATGGGCTTTGCATCTGGCTCAGCCTCCAGGACCATTGGCTGCCCACAAGAGGTGAAGAATGGCGTCCAAGGGGGCAGGCATGTCTTTCTCCCGAAAGAGCTATAGGCTGACCTCAGATGCTGAGAAATCCAGGATCACAGGTAAGGACTCTCAGGGCAGGGAGGATGCTCCTTGTGTTGGGGGAAGAAGGAAGGGGACAAACGCAGCAAAGTCCTAGATCTGATGAGCCTCCGGTCTCTCAGCACCCCTTGTTCCTGTGAGCCAGCTCTTCTCTGCTAGCAACTAACGCGACCCTTGTGGCTGGCTGAGGACCAGTGGTCTTTGGGGCTAGCAGGAGCTGGGAGTGGTACTGACCACATGCTCCTTTTCTCCATTCTGACCTGTGGCCCAGGCATTGTACATGAGAAACTGCTGAATGACTACCTACATCGCATCTTCTCCTCTCCCGACCACGTGCCCCCCACAGCCACCAGCAGGTATGAGTGAGTGAGTGGCTAGCCCTTCCCACACTGCTGGGTCACTCAGAGGCTAGAAGGTGCAGGTGTGCGGAGGGCAGCCTGGCGTGGGTTGTGCTCTCTGCTTCTGGTTGAGAGACCTGTGGCTAGAGAGTGTGCTACTGGATTCTCACTTGTTCCTCTCCCCAGCAATGCTAGATCCTTCCTTCTGAGGATGTGGTCAGAGAAGGGTGCCCGTGTAGTGCCAGCATGGCACCTGGCCTCCACATCAGCGTCTGTCCCTGTGTGTCTGCCCACACTTTGGCCCCACCCTGACCCCGGTAACCACTGCCTGAGCTTGTAAAGTACAAACCCCATGAGGACCTTTTCCTTGCAAGTTTAATACGTTTAAATTTAATCAAAGTAAGAGTTAAACGTACACTTTACTGGAAACTGAAATAGAAGCAGAAGCACCTGTCATCTTGTTATTTCAACATGGATGTGTGAATGTGATCCCTTTCTGGTTTCTTTGTGTCACAGTGTGTAGAGTTCAGGGTGTGCTGTATAGACCACTAAAAAATTGCCACCCTCAGTGTCCTCCTTAAAAAGTGTTCTGAGCTATAATTCATATACAGTGAGCTGCCTGCATCTAAAGTGTGCAGCTCAAGTTTTCACACACACACACACACACACACACACACCATCACCACCACCACCAAGGTAACACACATGTAAAGGTGTATAGACATTTAAATCTATTTTTTATCATCAAACATTATTCCATGAATTTTTTTTACATTTTATATTGATTTTGGTGGGCACCTTTGAGGGCTAGAGCAGTGTCATTGCCTGTTCTGTTTCAGTGGCCATGGTAGTTAGAAGGTTCTTACTTGTAGAAGGCCACTGTCTGCCCTCACCCCAACCCCAGTCCTGGCCTGTTCCCAGGGCCATCTGATCCCTACCTCATGTGATACCAGAGATGGTCCTACTGCTGCTAGTGCTGTGGCTGCCAGGAGGGAAAGCAGGCGGCAGGGCCATCAGTCGGGCCGTGGAGATGAAAGGCCCTGGGCTAGAACCTGGAAAGTCTAGGAAGGGTAGACAGGTTCTAGGGTTGGCAAAACAGGCAGTGCCACAGGCACTTAGTGGAGGCGTCTCCAGCTGGCTTTCCACCGCTCTGTGCCATTGCTCTAGGGGACAGGCATGAGGGGGCTCCCAAGCATGGACCTGCAAAAACTACTTTTGAGGATTCACTGGGTTGTTTGGATATGTGGTTGGCTTCAGTTTCCCATTGCATAGCTGCCCGCTAGCCATTGGCTCAGCAGGAATAGGGATGGCTCTCTGCCTCTCACTCAGGGTGAGTGTGGCTCACAGCAGGGGACCTGTGGTCCCCGAGCCTCCGTACAGCCAGCTGGTAGGAGTTGATGCTGTGGCCTAGCTGCATCGCCTTCCCGGGACTTTTCAGGCAGATGAGGGGGGCGGACACTGAGATTAAAGGTGGAAGAACAGCTGCTGGCAGTTGTGGGCTGGATCCAGATAGGTTTCGGACCTCTGCCCTGCTGAGTCCCGCTGGTTGCCACCACCCCACTGCTTACTATTCTTAGCAGTGAGCTCAGGCCGGAGCTGGCCTGCATGAGACAGTGCCCATCCCACTCTGGGCATGCGTGCTGAGGAGGGAGGCACCCAGACGGATTTCCCAGCCCCTCTGGACAGGAGGGCCGTGTGCTCCGCTGGCCAGCTAAGGGTATAGGACAGAGCCAGCTGGCAGCCCAGGACTGAGCCCTTCACACTGCTGGGGCATGTGTTTCCGCCAAGAAGAACCACAGGCATCAAGGGCTAGGCCAGGTGGCACTGCTAGGGCCGCCCTGGGGGCTGACCTTCCCCGCAACCTCCTTCCTCGGCCATCATCACCTTGGCTGCCTGTGAGAGTAGGAGGCGTAGAGTGTGTGTTATTCCTTGGAATCTTGACAGCATCTCTGACATAGAGCTATTGCTCCTTTTGTACAGATAAGGGAATTAAGGCTTAGGGAAGGCCTCTTTTTAACAGTCCCAAGGCACCAAATTGGACTGGTTATAACTTTTAGTTTAGTGCCTCATCCCAGTCTCCTGACTCCCAGCATGCCAGAGCTGAGGACGAGGCAGAGTCCTTTCTCTGGAGTCCAGGCAGCCACCCTTGGCAGCTCTGAGGAAAGAGCAGGAGAGGGGTTTGGTATCTTCTGGATGATTTCAAGGGCTTGTGGGCCCCTGGTAGCCTCTCACTCTCCCCAGGAAATTCCTGAACTTCCAGAACCTGCCAGAGCGCCTGGACCAGCTGCTGCAGGTGGACAGTGAAGACGAGGAAAGCCAGGGTATGTGGCATCTTTGAGGTTGGGTTTGGGGATATGGAGCACAGGGTACCCTATATGTCTTTTTTTTTTTTTTGAGACTGGGTCTCGCTCTGTAATTCAGTCTGAATTCACTGTGCAGCCCAGGCTGGGCCCAACTCATGGTGATGGCAATCCTCCTGCCTCAGCCTCCCAAGTGCTAGAATTACAGGCATGCGCCACCACACCCAGCAGGTCTCGTAGACCCTCTGCCCTGCCTCACTTTCTATCTTTT